TTAAACTGCAAAAAAAGAAGGCATTATTAGCTGATTGAAAACAATCTGCAGAAGGATTCGGAGGAACGAAGAATAAAACAATTAAAGAATGATTTCGCGGACCTATTACGTAACTGACAGGACTAAGAAAGTCGCCAATAAATCGTGGTGTGGTGTCATTTAAATATTACAGTAATACGAAAATATTGTCAAAATAATAAATTAACGTCGAAATTAGAATGTTGGTAATTTTTTGAAGTAAGACAAATACGTAGTATCTTTATCATATCTTAGCTCAAAAAGATAATAAGTAATTTGGAAGCATAAGTAGGTATTTAAGTTATATCATAATAATGAGTAAGAGTTTGTCGTTTTTTCATCTCAAATTGTGCAATGAAATCATCCCAGTTGGTTACTGATATAGAGATAGCTTGCGGGAGCTTTACGTAATGCGGGCGCTGAATCCGATTGCTCCGATTGCGGTAGATAAAACCGTCGAGGATCTTAAATTCATTACGTCTTTTTCTTGTTTAAACCAAATCAATTTAAACTTTCTAATTTGTCCTGAGTTTATGTGCTATACTTTGGTACTGTACTGATCTTTGTTTACGAACTTACTACATGGAAGAACTAAGATGTGACATTTCCTATGAGAAAAATATCGTTAACGTAACGTAAACGTCGTTTAAATTATGGGACCTCTCGTTCCCAACGCGGTAATTTTTGTGTAGCCAGTCTACAGTTTGTCCCCCAGTGGAACCCAAAGAAACGAGTATGAATTTGTCCCGGGGGAAAATTAAACTGCTTTCGGATCAGCAACGAAATTAAACAGAAGAAAGTAAGAGAGGTTGAAAATTCTACTTCCATCGAGTTGGAAGCAAATAACAGATGACAAAGTCGAAACCAAGGAACTCCTTTATCACTTTTTGATCTCATGTTCTATCATAACAGAAAAGTATACGAGTAATAATTTTATACGAGTGTTTACATTGCATGTGTTTTCATGTGAAGTGTAGTTCACATTATCCGTATCATTTTTAGCGAATGAAAACTAACGTTTAGTTATGCAGATAGTTAACTCGTTGCCATACATTGTCACAGAGGGGTTTCATAACAGCGCCATATAAACCCATCTCCTTAAAATTCAACCCGCCCAATGACGGTGAAATGCCAGACGTATACAAAGGTACCTAATCCATTACCCTCCACGTGCTCGCCGCGATGGCTCCAACCCTTGCCCTAATGACCCTGAGGGCCTTGGGTGGAGGCGATAAGGGATGGTTTGCTGTGGCAAGATAGGACGGTTCAGGTCGCGGATGGTAAACTGCGTCATTCAAGGTGAGGTGGAATGGAGGAGTTTACACGGGGAGACTGATGGCGCTCTGTCTAAATGCAAATTCTTCAAGATAAGACAATAATGAAGATGTATACCTAAAATACATACTTTATTAATAAAGTTATATTTCGGAATTACTGCTACTCGTATTACCGGAAAAAATGTTGTAAAATGATAACATTATGCCTAGGCGCAGACCACCGATTTTTAGTCGGCCGATAGTTGGGCCCGATTCTAATTTGTATGAAGAATCAAACGCTGTGCACTTCCATACGTGCCCATAATACTGATTAACTGCCCGAAAAACCAAAGGCTTATACTACCAAACGCTACAAATACTCGTTCTGTCTAATTTTTACATTGTATAACAACCTGTCCCCCACCCACATCATAATTATGATGATCATATTCCTTGTTCTTATCTACTGCACAGTGTTACTTTTCTGATTTTATTTAAAAAGAAAAATGACACCTTAAACAATACCTAAGACTAACGCAATCGTAGGTTGTCTTCGCCGCCGCGTAAGTCACCATTTGCATGCAAACTGTCGGCAGCGCCGCGCCGAGTTGGAGGCGGTCTGGTGCTAGCGAATACAATTGAACATTTTGGGATAAATGGTTAAATTATATAGAGATGAAGAAATTGTGCGATAATTTGAACTTTTTTTTTATACAGTACTGCAACAAAATTAATATTGTACCTAATTGCGAATGTCGTTGTATTCGATCTTAATGAGCTTTAAACTTATTTGTTTTTGTATGTTATAGAATTGCTCAAAAATTCTATTAGCAGAAAAAATATTTGAACATAAACCATAAGGTGGTTATTACACTCTGCCGCGCTCCGCCGCGGTACGCGGGACGACAGATTTAATCATTGTATGCAAATACATACCTCAGTTTGTATAGAAAACACGCGCGGCACAACACACTGACAACGCGTCTGCGCGCGGGATTCACGAAGGGATATGAAATCACGCGCTCCGCGGCGGAGCGCGGCGCAGTGTGATAACCGCCTAACATAGTCAATATGTTATCATCAATAAAAGTTCAAACAAAACCATACCTATGTCGATGCATGAAATAAGCAATAAAGTTTCAAGTGCGAGGGAGGAGTGGAGTGTTTCATAAACTCGTATCAATTTCTTCGCTATTGTCTATGAACAGAATCGCATATTGGCGGATAGAGTGCACGCTGCGAGGCGCCGGAGCCGAGTTATCACGGTGCTTTCATAGCCGCCGTAAAAATTTACATACTGCTATTATAGCTGAAGCCTCGGGGATTCCGGTGAGAAAGTCAATATTTCGAGAGTTATAAGTTTTGAATAACTGTACCAGGCACTTCATTACATCCACTGATATTAAAAAATTGAACTCGGTCAAGCACATACCTACATCGTTAAATATGGCTCCATTGTCGACTTGTTTAGATCAGTGATTCGTATTTCGATGTTTCGATTCGGCTGTATTTTGTTGAACGAAAATATTTTTGTAACACGGATAAGTTTTGATTCAGCTTAAACTTGGTTATACGATGTGTAACGATAAAGTTACAAAATTAACCGCGATCAGAAACTATACAGGCCGTTTTACACCATCTATAAAAAATTATAACCCTCTTACGATCGAAGTTCGGCCATCTAGACATTAGCGAGCGTCCATTATTAAGCAACGCTCGCTTTAACGCTTAAGGAGCGTTATTAAAATTTTCAATCTCGTCGTGGTTGAGTGAATATAAACTTGTGGAGAATTTTAAATAAGGTAATTTGCTTTGTTGAGCAGCGGCTGGCCACGTTTGATAAATTGCTTCATAGGCAGTTAAACAATTAAAGCCTCAGCACTTTACTCGGTTAGTGTGATGTATTTTCTGCTAGCAGTCTATTTTTAGCACTCAAATGGGTTGCTGCGTTTTTATGACACAATATTTTTCTTGTACTGACAGGTAATAATTTTGTAGGTACTGAAAAATATATCTACGAGTACGATGAATATTACCATTATAGGTATTATTTATGTGATGATACTGCTAAGTAGAGCAATTAATCGTGGGTTCGATTCCCGCCTTAGGCAGTTCAATTTTTTGAAATTAATTTAATTTGAGATGCGACACTAAACACAAAATGTTAATAAGTAGGCCCAATCCCTTCAGCCACAGCCACAACGCTTACATTTTTGATTCTCGCCTGAATCGATCTTGAAGCTTCAGTACTACAGCGGGGCACAATAGAGTAAAATCCTTTGTCCCTTTTTTACAATGCAATCTTAGCCCTGCTACACACTAGATATAAAGCCGACGGCCCAACTCTTTCTCTTATTGGCTCCAGCAATCGAGTCTATCATTGCTCGCGGACAGCTTTGAAGCCGTCTTAATTAAAACGCCTAATGAGAACCCTCCCCTCCCCTCCCCTCGACTCTTCATTTTGTTATTAACGCAGAGTGCGGTGACGAGCGGAGCGACCAAGTTCCTTGGTAATTTTTAAAAGTATACAAAAACTGTTGTAAAACTTTTCCACGAAAGTAGACAGTACTTTTGTTTTAAGCTCGCAATTTTAGTTTAAGTTTCATTGTCACAAAAAGAGCGCTTACATTTTGGAAAGGAATGTTGAAGTTCGGGTTTTGAACATGCTCTGGCTCATTCATAATAAGAAAAAGACTTCCATTAAAAATCATGACCGATTAAGGACTTTTAATCAATTGTTGTTTATTGTAATTTTAACTGTGTAATCCTAAAATAATGTTATGATTTTGAAGAGTATAATTAAAATGTATATTAGGTAGTAAAACGTTCTCCTTTCGGCAACTGAAAATCAATTTTTAGTACTTATATTTTGGAATACTGTGAAAGGAATCTCATGTGTGATATCAAAATATCGATTATGCTAGGGCATTTACATCTAGCTTTGTATGTACTTAATACCCTGCGTGGAGCGGCAGCCATAGCCAGCGAGTACGATGGAGCTTCGCTCGCGGCGTGTCTTTTTGTCTCCGCTGGTACTGATGCTCCGTGTAAACAGCGCGCCTGCCATGGAGGGGATTACAGACTAGAGAGAAAACGACGAATAATGTTTCACTATGTACCAAAGGCTTAATATACTCTGCGTAGCGTGGCTTAGTATGAAACAGCAAAAACGAAAATGGCTAACGCCGATTATGGATAAATCGTGAACCTTTGTGCATACGGCCACGAGTATATTGAATAGTATTAAAATTCCAGTGTTAAAAATATATTTGCAATAATCCAATGTTGGTTAAATTTAATTAAGTCAACCATTCCGAGTCCGAAATGATTATATCTTGTATAGTCAGATGCGAATGTTTGTGACCTAACTCAAATGCGTCGCCACCCTTAAATCTTTAATAGATTCCAGTTCAGTGGCTGGTTTTGCTTGAAACAAATTTATTGCTGCTACCGACTGTTAAGCAAATGCCTCACGTATCGCGGTACAAAAAGTTTTTCAACACATTTCCACTCGGAATGCCTCTTAATGGTCGGTTTTTAGGTTCACACAGTATGCGTCTGTTTTTGATAATTAAAATATGAAGTTAGTAAAATATTTTAAGAATATCTAATAATTTAATAAAGGGCTATAAAAGTGTAATCACATTTTCCTAGATTTGCCTTTTGGTTCTTTCAACGTTGTAACATATTATGTACCTAAGTAACAATACTTTTTGTTTGTTGTAGGAGAGCGGGCGTGCGGTCCCCGTGTTGGTGGTGGTAGCGCTCTCTGGGGTCAAAGTATGCGACCCCGACGACCAGGTGTGTACGAATAATATTCAACTCATTAAAACACTTTAACTGTTGTCATAAATGTATTGATTGAAAAGAAAAGTAAAATATAATGGCTATAAATTACGAACAAGAGCTAAGAACTACATAAAATTTTAATTTCGCTGTCATTTCATTTCCTCGCCTCGTTTAATCTACATATGTTTAGAACATTGGCCCTGGGGCTCAAGAACAAGCATCGTAAATATCAGTAATGTCCTGAAGTTCAAAAACATTTCAGCTCGAAAGCTCTAGTTTTAAGCTTTTGCCGCTGGAATTATACCTAGCTTTTCAGGAGCTCTCGCACTAAATTTACTGTAAAAATATTTATGACCTCAGTTATGTTATATTTCCATCGGTGTTTGGATGAACTTTAGTAAAATTGAAACGCAAGCGATCGCTGTGAAGCGGTCTTCTATCGAGATTATTCAAGAACATATTTTCTTTCAGCAAACTGCAGTTTCGAAAAACACCTAATTGTGAAAGAAAATTCACCCTACAGGACACAAAAGGATCCGTGAAAATTAGCGACGAAAAGACTTGTCCAAGTCGATATTAGTTTGATATATTGCCAACAAGATGAGTAGGTATTGCTTAGAAAAAGCGCATATTATTCGTAGAAGAAAATTACCACACAGCGGGCTTAGTCCCTTACCGTTCACATTAGAACAGATTTAGCGAAACGCTTTTTGCGGGCAGGCCCACTTTTTTACCCCTGTTGTTGTTTAAAGCAATGTCCCGAATGTGTATCAGGTGTCGTTTTGCAGAGCGTGCGCATGTCCCACGCGCTGCGGCGCATCTCGTACGCGACGTGTGAGGCGGCGCGCGCGCTGTTCGCCTTCGTGGCGCGCGAGCCGCGGCGCGATCCCGCCGCGCAGTACTGCCACGCCTTCGAGACCGACACGCCCGACCAGGTCAGTGCAGGCCCGACAGCCACCATCACCATCACCATCACCATCACCATCATCATCATCATCATCATCATCATCATCATCATCACTAACATCAACATCATCATCATCATCATCATCATCACCATCATCATCAGGAAAGGCAACAGTAGCCCCAAACAGCGCGGCGTCGGCGTCGGACAGCCGATTCGAGATTCGAGGAACGCTAGTTCGATCCCTTTCGTCCACTGGAGTATTTTGTGAACCCACTTCTAATGAAAGTAACTTAATTTAGTCTTTGGAGGAGTTAATAGGAATAACTAATACTAATTTGTGCACTACATCCACGGAAACCGCGACTCCTCCTATGTTCTCCTGATTAATTTTAACTTTCCCCCGGGAGAAACTTGACCTACACTGGTTGGGTTTTTATTGACGGTCAAGCTGTATATCCTGGCTACACAGGAGGTGCTGCGGTGGGAACGAGAGGTGGAAGTAGTCTCGTACATCTACGGGAAGAGTGAAGTTGGTCCTTCTATTCTATTGAGTAGAACAAACTACTTTTACATCTCTGTATTAAGATGCTCGAGTTAGTGCGATTCAGGTTGGAGTGGTCAGACAATCAGAACCTTAATAATTTTAAACCGCCTCTGTGGTCTAGTGGTTAGACCACCTGCTTCAGACGCAGAGGTCCCGGGTTCGATTCCCAGTGGGGGCATTTTTCTGTTCGGTTTGGTTGGTGGTAGGGCTTGTTCTAAGTCCGCCTGGCTAGCTACCACCATCTTACCTAAGTCTGTCGCCATAACAACAATGTTAACAGCATTATTGTGTTCCGACAGTTAGAGGTAAGATAGCCAGTTCCTCCGTGGTTGAGGATTCCGGGTGAAGCTCGCTCCCACCTTCGGCCTGATCGTCACTTAACATCAGGTGAGATACAGGCCAAGAGCTTCCTCGTTGTGGATAAAAAAAAAAAAAAAATTTAAGACAATGTTTGACCAATAAATATTTGATACTAACTACATTTTGTGGAAATTTTCTCAAGAATATTATAACGTATAGGTCTCTATTACCAGTATGTGGTAGTCCAATGAATTCAAACAAATGATACGTTGTCAATTAGAATAAATAATAGTCCTTTGCAGTCTATTCAGTTTGACGTTGAATGATATATTGGAGGCTCAGTGACTGCGGCGCCAGTTTTATTGTCAATTATTATTTAAATCAAGCAATTAATAAGGAGCTCAATGTGAATAAGAAACATTATATTGCAAAGTAAAGGATGCATTCACAACATGCGATACAAAAAAAAATACATCCTATAACGTGACGAGTGTAAATGATTTCAAAGAGCATTCAATGAAAACATATGATTATGTTTGTTCTCTAATAAATGTCATGGTTGTCTGCTCGAAGATATCTTCAGCATATTTTGAATATTGCTCTGAGGGAAGCTGGACCTCCTCGCAAAGGCATTCCAAGTTATATTGAAGATCCTCCGATATTGCTTAGATCAAGAGTCTTGAATACCATGCTATGAAATTGTTACCTATTGCAATACATATTTATAATTTTAGTAGTGAAAATGTATTATTAACACTTGACGCTATGTAGTTAAAATTACTTAAGATAACAGAATTTTCATTCAAATGTGCTTTAGATTTATTGAATGAAAATAATCCGAACAAGCAGACAGTTTTGAATCATTCGATCTAATCGTACAAAATTAATCGACGAGTATGTCATGTCACTTATATTTTTGCCGATATCAAAAGACAAATAAATTGTAAGGTTCTGAATTTAAATAAATAATAACTTTAACTGCAGTACTATCCCATAGTCGCAAATCAATCAACGCGGCCAATCAGTTAATTCGCCTGTGTCATTGCAGCCGCGGTCCAATTAGCGTGCGCGATGGACCGATAGCCGAGACGAATGTCTGCTGATAATGTTGATTAGTGCTAAGCATCACGCATTAGTCTTCCAGTCATTGGTGTTCCTGGGATAGTTCAGATGAAGCGGGAAGAAATAAACTAGATGTCAATCGGTGACAATGATACCTAAGTGGAGGCTTTCTCTAGCTCGTGGAACCCTAAAGGTTCAGTCAAACCAACGCAATCAGCCGGCGTGCAGCGATGGCGATCAGACTTAAGGGTTCGCTGTTCCATCGCCTGCACGCCGGCTGATGGCGTGTGATCGCGTTGGTTTGGCTGCACCATAAATGATCGCATTAGGGCGCGGTAACAGTTGCTTTCTATTATGTCTCGATTCGCTGATACTTGAAGGGCTACAAGACAATGAAGAGAAAGAGACTAATAATGAGAAAAGACTTTAATGTATCTCTTAGAAACATGTTCATTTCTCATAACTTTTTTGCTCTACCAGAGGACAAATACACCCTAATCAATATAACTCAATCCAACTCGTATTTTAAGTTATTTCCATGTTCTTTCATGTCCGTAATCTGAGTGCTGATTGATTTAACGCTCAGTCTCGGTGACAGAATACAAACAAACACAAGGAAGCAATAAAACAAACCAAAGCCCTGCTAATGGTGATTATAAAAGAAAGACATCTTTTTCTTCGTAAGTTCCGTCTAATAAACTTGATTTGTGATATTTTTTAAACAGCCTGGAAGTAAAAACTACAAAGTCTGTCGTGAACTATTTTAAGAAATGTCTACTATTTCATTAGATACATTGTATTGTATTTGTTTAATGTTTTGATTCTAAAACATGATGATTAAGGTTAACGGTAGAATAAAACAATAGGAAAAAGAAAAGGGGTTCCCTTTATTGTTTTCAATAACTAAAGCTTTGAGCATCGTGATATTGCATTAGTTGCATTTAACAACCTATTCTCGACCTCTTGATTTAGCTTCATTGCACATAAAAGTTGGAAGTGAAGTTCAGAAACATAATTCAATAGGTAGGTATCACGTAGGTCAATTGGAACAAACGTTTCCATACCTATTTCCTATATACATACGAGTACAGGTAAGTATGTTTATATCCGTTGTATTGTACCCATACTACAAGTTTTGCTTAGTTTGTGACTAGCAGTGTGTAAAAATATAAAACCGCAGAAAAGATATTTTATACAGTCACTTATCTGGTTGCGTATCCCTAAAAAGCTACGTGACATCGTGGCTAGCGATGATCCGGTGACAAAATGCCCAATCGATCAACAGCGTGATCCGGTAATGGGCCGAGTGCAGTGACGCGCCGCTATATTGGCCGCGGCGAATGCATCGGTCGCGGCGCGTGACACTTCCCTCAGTCGCACCAGATGGGACTTTTTGTGAAGTCATGCGCATTGGGCAAAAAATTCGTGTATTTTTATTGATATGTCTACTTAAATATAATTTTGTGCTCTATGGATGTAGAAAAAGGTGTAATTTACAAATTGAATTTGTTATATACTTATATTGTTTTCAATAAATGATTTCTCAGCATCAGCCGATATGTAGTTCTGAAATGATGGTAGCGCATATAACTGCCCTAAAAAGGGCCTACATAATTTGAATTTGATGTGTTTATTCGTTTATAAAATGAAGTTTAATTTTAGAAAATTGATTAGACAAACAAATCATATCTTGTAACTTGTTAAGAAAGTCACGCTTTGCCCATCGAAATAGAAGTTCTTGCATGATAGCACCTCGCCGGCTCCAATTAAAAACGCTGTCTGAGGTCATGTTCAGTGCTATCGCTACGACTATCGCCTATCTAGATCTGACTAGGCAGACTTGTACTTTTTCTTTAACGTTAGATTTCATGTGACTCGTATTGGATCCATAAAAAATAAAAGACTCTTATTTTTGATAAGATTTTGTTATTTCATTGACAGGCGCAGTTACTTTTAACACTAAACCGATGTCTGATCCCTTGATCCGATTAACGCGTTTATTTTGGGCAGACACTGACTCAGTGACAAGTTATAAATTGTGCTTGTAATCCTGCGCCATTGAGTAGACTTGTCGTCGATTGGATGTCGATTGTTCTTATTTGGGATTATTTGACGTGTTGTCGGTTTCTAAAAGTAAATGATACACATACCTACCTAACATGTCCGATCACATTTTCACTGAATCTTTAATAAGTAGGAGTAACTATGAAAATAAATATATTTTTATAGAGCTTTTTTTTTAAAATAGCGAGAGCAAGCAAGGTTTGCTCAGTTCCATAAACCGCAGATGAATCGATCACGAGAGAGGCGAAGCCTCAGGACGCCGCCGCGGCCCGCGCCCGGCGCGCGGTTTGAGCTCGTGCGCATACCGCGGCGTGCGACCTTGCGCCCGCGCCGGCCGCCGCGCGCACATTCCGGCCCTCACCAATACTCAACAACAATCCCGAGACGCTGTCGCTCGCTTTTAATTCATTTTGCTGGCCATAACTCCTCGCTACTGTCTCGTCAGCCCATTCACATGTCGTCGCGTGAATCAAACGCGAAACAAAAAAAAACATCTGATGAATTACCGACCATTATGCTAATGTACGATTGAAATGACGAAGAATTCGAATCGAAAACCGCCGCTCTTCGATCATTAAGCTCGGGTCATCAACCGATCGCGTAGTGTGCAGAAAAGTTCGTCGCCTCATAAAATTAAAAAGAAAAAGAGCAACACACGACACAGGTGCGCGGGCGCTCGCGTTTCCCATTGTGCTCGCGCCACTTACCGTGAAGGCTTCGCCGTGGGACGAGTTCTCGCAGTCGCTTTTAAGCTCTCGGTGCACGCGCACGTCTCGCGTTGTTCCGTCAAAATTTTCGGTTGACGAGTGCCTTATCGTGACGCAGTGACTGATTGTTCGATTGTGAAGGTGTTACTCCGTGTGTAGTGGTGTGATTGACCGTTGGATACGAGCTATCGTAACAAATCGTGGGAGCTCACCTCTGGTATGCAACGCTTTGTACGATTGACCCGAGTTATGCCGGGAGAAATTCTTGTTTTATACATAGCTTCATATTGCCGGGTTTCTTCGACTGATCGGATTGTTAATTTAGGTATCGAGCAAAGTGGTTGGGTTATC